TTTTTAACGCGAATAGAAGACGAAAGTGAGACGATAATCGTTGAAAACAGACGAAAGGTTATTAGTGATAGTTAAGATGGCGGGTTCTGGCAGGAAAAATGAGATAAAAATATATAACTTAAATTACAAAAAAAAAAAAAAATTTTTATATATGTGCATGTAGCGCAGAAAAAACTACAACCACTTAATTTGAGGTACGAGGAAAAAAAGGGAGAGGAATCCTGACGCAAGAACGATAAGACTTAATAATAGCGTCCCGTGGTTTGTTTACATTTTAAGTAATGCAAGTTTTCACTTTTATTTTCTAGAGTTGATTGGTTGTTGTTTGCCACCACCTTGTACAGATGCACCTTGAGGTTGACTAACAATTATGACACGATCATAGTGCATATATGAAGAAAATCATCGTTTGATTTGAGAATGCCACCATGGACTTGTTGGCTGTGGTATGAAGTCGGAAGAATCGCCAGCAAAATCTGCTGCCGAATAAGAGTAACCATATCGTTCAATGGAAATGGAGGATATTACGGAAAAGGCCCGCTCGTTAACTTACAACAAACACTATATATACTAACTAAATGTTAATATAATCATTATACTTAGGGCCGTTTGCACCATGTCTACTTAACGCTAACTGGAGGTACATCCTTCAGTTAATCACGTTAACTGCTTTATCGATCACATGTTATATGATGGGTGTCGATAACGTCGATAAAGATGTTTAACTGGGAGTTAGAATTAACTAGACATGGTGCATACGGCCCTTACAGGACTACTATGAGCATGCACTTTTTCCCAGCTGCCGGTAATGTCATATTTTGTTCCGCTTATGATGGTTGGGGTTTCTTAAGCCCACGAATGGGTGAATGAGAGCTGATTTTAATGGCATGAATGATCTTGTCATAGCACAAACAGCACAAGGTCTATCTACTTATATGGCGAACAAACTTGGTGATAACGACCGCAAAACACGCGGAATTGTTTTTGGCTAGGATGGACGTCATAATAGCAAACGATTTGCCGAGCTATCCGCAAATTTTTTTATACGTGCCGGCTTTAAGGTTTATCTCCATAGGCCACACCTTTAGTACCATACACAATTAGTCTGTTCCAATAGCAGTCCGGTTTACAGGATTTAGTCAGAACTTACAGGAAGTCGTTCCTATTGACATAAAACCTGTAAGTGGGAACACATTTGGGAGAGTAACTGAGCAACTGTTCCTAGTCAGAAGTTACAGGATTTAGTCCGGAGTTTCTTTTCCTGTAAGTTCATGAAAAGTGTCAAACGATCAGCTGATTTACATGTGCAAGCAAAAACTAACAGCGGTGAAAGCAAAGTACCTTATGTTTGTAAAAAAAATGGAAGTAAACAACGAAATGTTTGAATATGTATAGATTTTAATAATTATTTAGTGATATTTCAGCTAAATCAGTGTTGTACAAATGACATGTAAACAAACCGACTGACGTTTTTACAGGAAATAGTGCTTTTTGCGTTCCTATGCACTTCTGCATCTGTTCTCCTTTTACTCTCATTTGAGAGAGTAAAATTGTAGTTTGACAGTTCCACAGGTTTTAGTCCGAAGTTCAAAGGAACAGACTAAATATGTAATTTCAATTGCTTTGGTGGCGTGATGGTGACTGCTTCTCATAATCCAAAAGATGATAATCAGGCAGTTGAAAATTTGAATTCAAAGCGCATTTTATTGAAATTCACTCGGAAATGAATTGCAGAACCTGCCTGAATGGCTACAAAGTATACTGGAAGAACGGTGCCGAAATCGTTACTCCACACGTCGAGAACATATACGCGGTTTAACTAAGTAAGTATCTATCAGACTATCAAAACCATTTGATGTTTCAAATAATGTGAAGTCCCTTGATAAGCATTGATACCTCACAACTAAGGGCCGGTTGTTCAATGTCTGATTAGCACAAATCAGAGGTAGAAGCTCCGGTTAAGCACAACTACTGCTTTATCGATCACATGTTACATGCATGATGTCGAAATCGTCGATAGTGTAGTGGTAGTGATAACCAGACATTGAACAACCGGCCCTTAATGGTAAGGCCATTTTGCCGGTTAGTGCGTAATTACTTTCACCTTCGAGAACCCCCAAAATTTAAATACTATGCCGAAATGTGTGCACAACCAGATCAAAGTGATTTTAATGGGCTAATAAATGCCACAAATGAGATGGTTTTAGCAATTGTGCAAGAATTTTTGCAGCCAAATGATAATAACCTAACACCAAAAGCTGATTAAACGTTTCAGGGAAGGAAATGAAACCACAACTAATAGCCCAGTTATGCATACCTAGCGTTGCATGAGAGTTGTCACATAAGAATCTGTTAAATGGGCTGTGCGTGTAAACGGTTACCCAATGCATAGCATTTAGGGCCGGTTGATCAATGTCTGATAAGCACAAATCGGATGTAGAAGCTCCGGTTAAGTACAACGACTGCTTTATCGATCACATGTTACATGCGTGATGTCGAAATCGTCGATAGTGTAGTGGTAGTGATAACCAGACATTGAACAACCGGCCCTTAACATGAAGAATTCTGTTGGGTTTTGCTTTTTACGTAAAAAAGGTATGCATAACTGGGCTATAATATATTGTTACGATTATCCTCGAAACCTTGAGGGATTTCCCAAATATACTCGGGCTCGTATCGCTGGATTGTTAAATAAATGCTAACGATGACCAAATTGTAGTACAATTAACTTTATTGTACAACAAACAATTTACAATACTTGCTAATACAGTAAAAACACTTTA